AATAACTGAAGACTTCTGAGTGGGAGTCCAAGGTTTTGTTCCTTCAGTCCTACCACCACTCAGCCAGCGTATTCTAGGCACTTCTCCTGCACACTGACCATCCACCAGTGAGGCAGACCAGGCTGGCCTCGCGGTTGAGTTCGATCAGGTTTTACCATTTACCTTGGACCAGCCTTGTCCTTAAGTCTCACCTTTCTCTTCCATAAAACAGTGATGAGACCTTCTTGACTCGGGCATTATTGGTTAAAAGTGAGGTGAGGTCCCCAGAAGCGCACATGTGTTCCATTTGCTACTTACTCCCAGGTTCCAAGAGCATGAAGAAAGGAAGGAAGGTGCAGTCCCCGCCCCACGTTCCTTTCGCGACCTAGGAGGGCAGCCCAAAGCTCTCAGAGGTCCTCGGTGTCACCACCCCGAGGTGCCCAAACCCTGCCCCCCCAACCCCAAGGCCGCCCGCTGAATCGTCCAAATTCTGAAGCTAGTCTAACCTCCTGTTACCTTTCCGTAGGTGCTGCGGCCCGACAGAGACGATCCCTGCTACACCCCGCTGGGGTCAAGGTTAAAACACACACACACACACACACACACACACGGTCTACACACACACACACACGGTCCACACACACACACACACGGTACACACACACACACACACGGTACACACACACACACACACACACACACACGGTCTGCTCTACAGCAGTAGTCAACTGAATGGCAGGCTAATAGATGCTGCACGGAAGAACAAGGAACTGCCTCAAAGGAAATATTCTCTGGAAGGTTTTAGACCTTGTCTTCACATTCGTGTGTTGTTGGGGTTTTTTTTTGGGGGGGGAGTGTTTCTTACCCCCAGACTGCTGTCCATGGCTCTGTTTTGCAATCTAGGGAAGTTTGGGCAGGCATAAGCACACATACCCACTAGCCATTCATGAGACATTCAAAATATTTTAAAAACAGGTTTTGGAATATAACTTTTCTAAAAGAAAAATTCAGAATTTGTAAGATAATAATATCAATGTTCTACAGCCTCCTTCCAAATACAGAGATCTATTTTTTCCATATATTTATCTATTTGCCGTGGAGCCCGCCTCATTTTGTTATCAATGGGTTTTCTTGGTGAGGTTTTCTTTACTTAGCCAACGTGCATAAAGAATGGCTGTGATACAGGCTTCAGCAGGCAGCAATCTCTTTACCCTTTGCAAAGGGCACAGCTACATGCCAGGGCTGGAACCAGGTAAAGAATCACAACCATGATTTATATTTGAATATTTATATGGTGCCAACTAAGTCCAGTGCCTGCACTTACACTGCTACAATTGAACCACAGTTCTGCTGTATGCACATTTTAATTCCTATATTCATCTCTGTTCTTTTCAGAGAAATTTCCAATTACCATAAATGATTTTTAAATGCACACTTCACTCCCCTATCCTTTCTCCTTTTGCAGTAAAAAAAAAAGAAAAAAAAAGGCTCTGATAAGGATGAAGCTGTTGAACCAAGGAATCAACATAAAGAAATGGTGGGCCATATTAATAGTCAATGCAAATGTGTGGGTTACAAATGAGGATAGGTGATTATGGCTAGGCTTGACATTAAATAGGTGACCCAGACCCACATGATTTTGAGGAAAGAACCAGGATGATCAATACTATACGTCTGAGTTTGCATTTGGCCTGGTGCTCCTTTCTAAATATGTCCCTACCACCACCAGTAAGAGGCATCTGCTGGTGACCATGCCCTTGCCTGATCCCCTCCTCTTGGACCTCAAATGTTCCTACGCTTGCTTTTGACCTATAGACTGTGACAAAATCATGCTACAAAAGTTCTGCCTTGCAGCTTTTGTTTTGGACTCTTAGAATGCTGACTNACCTATAGACTGTGACAAAATCATGCCACAAAAGTTCTGCCTTGCAGCTTTTGTTTTGGACTCTTAGAATGCTGACTCTGATGAAATTCACATCAACTGGCAGGCTCAAGAGAAAACACGAATTTGCTGAAGCAAACAAAATCTGATACCATTGTAATTAACTAGTTATTAATAACAGGGAAGGAACAAAGGGAAGGCCAGATGTTATAGGCATGTCATTTGGACAGCTTTCCCAGGAAGCAACAACTTTACACTCCCCAGGGGTCCAACAAAGAGGAGACAGATGCACGCCCAGTAAAGCAGGGGTAGCACAGGGAAGGTGACTGCTGTCAGTCACACCCGAGAACAAAGGTCATTGGCCAGAATGGGTGTGGCCACTGCAAACGCGTGGAAATTTGGGATACTTAATTCCCTAAACAAAGGAACTGGCTCTCTCGGTTCTTCTTGCTGCTCTTGGGATTCTTGAGACTCGGTTGACTCTGGGCTTGTGGGACTCCCTTGAGTCTGCCCACATGGCCCACAGCCCACACACAAGGGACCAATGGACTGCAGCTAGCCTGATGCTATACTGGACCTGGTTCAAACATGGAAAGGAAATTCTGGACATTGGCTTTGCTTCTAGCTTTACTAAAACCCCAGCTATACTTCTTCTATGACTGGACTAAGAGAAATGGGACTTTGGAAACCCAGGGATGTAATTCCATGGAAATAAAAATCACTCATTCTCGGGCAAGTGTCTCAGAAAATTTTTTTTCTCGAGATATAAGGACTCCACCCTCAGCACCCAGTGGGGAAAAGGACCCCCCCCCCCACTTCATCCCATAACAAAACCATTGATACCACCCACTGTTTAGGCTGCCTTACTAAAAACTGCCCTCTTTGGAGAAGTGGAGATACAGGCTGTGTGTTTAGAACACTACATTTGTCTGTGGAATAGATGGTGCCCTTTGAGAGTTCTCCTGTGGGAGTTGTTCTTTCTGATGGAAACAATATAAAGAGCACCTTGTAAAGCATGAAGGAGTCTTGCCATCTAATCAAACATCTCAACCTACCTTTCTAGCTTACAGAAAATGAGGTGGTTAGAGAAAAAGTTAAATGACATCGGGAGGGAAACAAGGACAGACAAATCGAGACAGTAAAACCCTCTGAGATAACTGGCCTAAACTCTTTACCGAGTTAATGCCATGGGGAAAAAAAAAAAAAGTGGAGGATTATTCTGCATTGAAAGAGAGAGTCATAACAACAAATGCAATGCATGACTCTTCATGGGAATATCTTTCTACAATGTGTCACCTTTTTTGACAACTGGAGCAATGTGTATAAGGGCTAGATATTAGGTGACATCAATTTATTAAACTTGTTAGATGTGATTTTCTTATGTGGTTGCATAGGAGAATGTCTTTGTCTAGTCTTAGGAAATGCAGGCTGAAGTATTTAGGAAAGAGAAAGAAGGCAGTTATGGAAAAATGTTAAGTTACACAATCTTGGAGGACTATATATGGGTGTTCACTGAACTACTCTTTCAAATTTTTACCCAGTAATGCTGGAGCCAACCTGTTCACAGTCCCACAGCCAAATGGCCAGAAGGCGGAAGGAACTGATGCAGATGGCACTCTTCCAGGGGTGCGGAGAAAGAAGAAACATTACTGTATTTCTGGATTAATTCAACCGCCTCCACCCACGCCTGAAAGCCTCTCCACTCCCCCCAGGGTGCACTACGTAGACGTTGACGACTCTGGGAGGGCCTGACCTCCAGACCGAAGGAGAGTTTCCAGAGCGGCCTTCCTCGAGGGAGCGCGACTCCCCAGGGCGCCGGTTCGCGGGCCAGACCTTTGTAACCCGACCTGTTCCCCACCCTTCATTCTCCACGGATTCTGGGAGGGCGAACGCGCATTTCTTCTGAAAGAGCAAAGGATTTCCCAAGTTTTCTTCTTTCCTTAGTAGCTCCATGGGGATTTTTAATAAGTAACTCCCTCCATGACTGCCTCTAGCGCGTGCATCTGCGCAGCTTGAAAACTTTGCAAGCCTGCAAAGAGGAGGGAGTCTCAAAAAGGAATTTTTGCGGGAGGCCCGCCGCTAAATCGCTTAACCGCTTCCATCCTCAACAGTAAAACGCATACCTAGTGCCACGGTGACGGCGCCTGGCGATGCGAGGGTCGCAAGCACGCGCGCAGGAGAGCGAGCGGGCTGCGGCCACGGGCGGCGTGGGGCTGCGCGTGCGTCAGAGCGAGCGAGCGAGCGAGGGGCTCCGG